AGTTTCATCTATAAAGTTATCCTCCAGGCAGTTAATTGCTTAGTAACTAAGCTCTGCGTATCCAACACAACTGATTTTAGTATCTCTGCAGAGGAGCACAGAACTAGGCACAGGGAAATTTTCACTTCAATCGTCATCTAATTCTGTCAGCCCAAACTGGCTGAAACAAATGCTACCTATAAGGTGGTTATGATTCAAAGATTCTGTTGTCTACAAAAGAAGGGTGCAAGGCTTTAAGTTCAGCTCTACATTCAAACATTCCTACAAGTTTGGGCCTGTTTGGATTCAGTTTATGTGTGTGGCTCTTTGTAATCAGTCTACTACCTGTGTTGTCGTAGTCTCTAAAGTAGAGATTAGAGATCTACCCAAGGAGATATGTCAAGAAGTGGACTCAAATTTTCACAATGCAAGGGTTAGATCCAAGTCTCTGCTTTATCTGCTGCCTTTGCACAATACAAGAAAACTTTCAGCAAAATCTGGAAGGTAAAATTTAGCCATTGGGACATCACTTTCTTTTCTTTTTTCAGAGAGGTTTCTTTAAGTTGAAGGAGAATTATGTTATATTTTGATTTTTTTCTTGGATGGCTTATCTCCAAGATGGCTTGCACTCAGATTCCTCTAAACTTTTCACTTCTCAGAAGGGTAATGTCTCATTTCAGAAGGATAAAGGCTCACGTCAAGAAGTACTGCAGAACACTGTAATTTGAACATTCACTAACAGTGCAGAATTTCTGATGGCAACAGCTACAAATAACCTATGGAAAACAGTAATAGGAATTGTTTATTCAAGAATACTTCCTGTGGCTCTGCAGTTCATCCAGGTGCACAAGCTCTGTTATTCACAGAAAGTTAATCTCTTGTTTCTGTTATTTTGGATTTCTTGTCAACAGATACCCCAAGCCAAGAAGATCTAAGCATAAGTTTTGTAAACAAGTAAATTAGGACTCATACCTTCTACTGAACAGGAAGAAAAAACCCAGAACAGAAGGTGTTATGTAAAAACCAGCAGATGGGTAAGGGTACAAGTTTACATTGTTATCATTGACCATATTTGACAGAAGCAAAAATAGGAAGCACTGTCTGTTATCAGACCTACATGTACAGCTCGGCCAATCTACCTTACGAGTATAAACTGTCCCAGTAGCACACCAAGATACATTCTCATTTCCCACCTATGCTGTTTTCTGGGTTAGGGATTTTTTTGTTGATGCCAAGATGCCAAGATCAAAATCATGTCTATGCTATTAGAGTACTTCTACCAGCGATGCCTACCTATGATACACTTAGTTCTCTGAGACTCTGATTGAATAGAGTGGGCAAAATCACCCTTTGATATAGCACTGATTTTTCTGTCAAAGCAGTCTGATACATTCTATATTATAACTATCTGAATCAGCATTTGCAGATAGGGCTCCGAGTGAAGTATTTATTACAAATCTAAAAGTTAAGTTTTTTTTTATTTTAATCAAAGCATTCACTGAAAAGGACTGATTTTCTTTGAAAACAGAATTACATTCTGTATACCATGTAAACAGCCTTCAGGTTATAGGTTCATGTGCATTTTACTTTATCTGAATATTACTCATGGTGCATGGATTTGTCACATAAGTTGCACGGCTTGTATATTGTTTCCTGTATGGACAGAAGAACATTAAGCAAAAGCCTAAGTGGATGATGGATAACAAAGTATATGAATCACGTCAGTTCTGGGATTTCAAGATATCCCTGAGAATATGCAGTGTTCATCTGAAAATACGCATATACTAATCAGAGCTACTTAGCACATCTTACCGATGTGCAGCTGAATCCTACTGAATGGCAGCTTTTTCACTCATAAAAGTAGTCAGAAGTTTGGTGGGTTTCAGGGTTTTTTGTTTGGTTGGTTCTTTTTTTTTTTTTTTTTACTTTTTTCCTTTCAGTTTAACCAGAAAAATTAGCATTGGACTTCCTATATGAAACTTTTCACATCTCTTCCGTTTTCTCTTGAGCAGATGCAAATTACATTGAGCATCTTTCAGATAAGTATATTTATCTATAAAAGAGACGGAATACATTTGAAAAGTCAGCTAAACAATTTTTTTTTTCTTGTTTTCCTGCACCATCAACTGAGTTCTGCATGTTCTTGGGAGTCTTGCAAGGGAAAGCTGCAGCAATTAAATGCCTTTCCAAACTACCGTTTGTTGAGTATGTAGCCCAATGGCAGTTTTGAAACAAAAGTTAAAGGAGGTGATTTACAAACTGTGTTGACACCTCTCCCATTCTGAAGCACTGTACTTAAAAAGATAAGCATCCTCTTTTAATTTTTACTGAAACATGAAAGTCTGGCAGGTCTGACAAGTGCAGTCTGAAACATGATCCTGCACCAGAAATTGTTATGATGAATTCACAGTCAGTATCACACCACAGCCTAGGCTGCAGTTTTCAAAGGAACACAAGGTCTTTTCTGCACAAGAAAACCAATACAGAACTGATTCACTTAAATCAATGAAACTCTTACATTTTGGCAAAGGGCCGCAAAAAGAATGGTGTCCCTATACACATCCCAAATTCTTGGAAAAAAATCTCAGCCGCTCAATCTGCAGGATTCCAAGTCCCTGCATTCTGGTAGGTGGTCTTGTTTCGATTAGGATGCAATAACTAGTAACTGTGACTAACAGCTGCTAACACACCTTACACATTCTTAGCAGGATTTCACTTAACTGCAGTCTCTACAACTGCAAAAATAAAGATAATACTTTGACTTGCATTTCGTAACCCCTTTATTGAGTTTTGATTGCTTATTATTAGTCCTGTTGCTCTAGTTGTTAATCAGAGAAGTCCTTCTTAAAGTATGGATTATAGAATCTGTCCTGTCACAAGTTAGTCAAATGGATTAGGATCAAAGTGAGGAACTATTGAAAAGAGTGCCAGGTGGGAAACAGCAACTCAGGTTATGCATCCTCTAAGCGATGAGCCCATCTGATAATTCTTAACATTCTGAAGAGTAAACTATTATTAAATACTAAACTAAGGTTAATTCTCAGCGCATTCGTTAAAACCTCAGACCATTCAAACACCCATGTTAAGTTAGCAAGATGCAGATTAGAAGCAGCACAGCAAAAATGACGACATTTGCAATGTTACCTGGAAGCAGCAAGTAATTGAAAAGAAACTATTCGCTCTCTGAAGGAGGTGTGGAGTAGTAGAAGGGCTACAATAGGGCTTTACACAGCTTGCTTGTTTTCAGTGCAGTGTATAGATACTGAGGACACCTGTCTTACTGGAATAACACAGAGGTCAGGAAAATGCAACTTACTGAACAAAACAACCATAGCAGACAGTTTGCTTTTAAGCAAAATAAAGTTCAGGCTGTTGGCAAGTAACAACCTTAGACATAAAATAGTGTCACTAAATTAACACTGAAAGACATACTGTGGTAGTCTGAATTCATTTTTAAAAATTAGTCAGCAAAAGTGTGTTAAGGATATATGCCCACTTAAAGCCTTATTATCATTACACCGTTCTATTGAGTGGGAACCTCAAGTGAAATAGCCTAGGAAGTGATTAAATGTGAGTTCTTCAGTTCCCAAACTGAAATAAAACCAAAAAGGAAACATTTTGCCTTCTAAAAATGCATTCAGTTGTGATAATCTTGTCTTTAATAACAGAAAGGAAGGACTAGCGCATGTCCCTCTGTTCACTGACATGAGTGAGGGCAGGCTGGATTCACACGGATCTCATGCTACAAAGGTGGGGTTTATATCACCATTTCCTGTTGCAACAGGAAGGTTTCTACACTAAAATGAAGGCGAAAAAAACAGTAAGCGTTGTAAAATTATTTGTGAAATGCTGGCAAGAGAACAACTACCATTACCACCAAACCCACATGCATTCGCATAAAGATGGCAGGTATACACTCATATCTGTGGGCAGGCATCATCAAGGGGCCAACATCCAGCTGCTGCTAGTATCTAACGAAAAGGTCAGCAATAATAATAATAATAAAAACCCACAAAATAACTCTGAAGCAATAGTATCTTCTTAGATGCTAAATTATTTATTCTACCCCAGAACACAATCCAACAGCAAGGGGGAGGCCATGGAGTCCCTCCTGCACATTAAGTGATCTAATGGTAAGACACAAAACAAGTTTAGAGTAAATCTGTAACACTGTGAAAGGACGGACAAATAAATAGAAACAGCTTTTCTAGTTTTTCAACTGACAGGTGGCTGTCCCCTGCAAACCATAAAGTAGAAAATCATCTAATAAAATCTTTCCTTCAAAGAAAATGGCCAAAATGCTAAAGAAATAGAACAAAATATAGAATTGTATTTTTGTTGTATCTATATTATTAATATAGAATTGGGAACCTCTGCTCAGTTTTGCCATGTCAGTTCACCCTGCCACAATGGCAGACAAATCCACATACATGACAATTTACATTCTACTTAAGTTAGTGAAAATCAGCAGTTAGCAGCAGTTCATATCGCACGTGCTTTTACAGTCCTCTTGTTGCTGAAAGACTGCCAGACAAACCCAATAAAGGGGGTCCGCTTTCACCCCAGAGGATCTGCAGTTTTACATTAGGTTAAACGGAAAAGGAACATATGAATGCACACTTCATTGCAACAGCAATGACGAAGCCAGAGTAAAAACAAAGAAAAACTAACAGAAATTAAAAATGAGAGCCAAAATTGTCAATATAAAGATGCTAACAGTATCCACAGGACGCTAAACTACTATAATGAACTTGTGCTATAAGAGTATGTGATAAGTAGCAGGCTATCATTTCCTCTTTGGTCAGAGTGGAGGAAGCTAGAAGGAAATCATCATAATCTAATATAGATCACATCTTTGATAATTTTTTTAAAAAAACTGAAGTGTCATTTATTCAAAACTAACATAATAATAAATAGTCTTACCTAAAGTGTCACAGGAGATTAGTTTACAGCTGTATGCTTTGCATAAATATTCCACAGTAACTGCATTTTAAGAGATTGAGTGGTTTTATATCTACTATTCTCAAACCTATCAAATATTAAATCTCACAATGCTTTTTAAAATGGAAGCCTCTATTACAGTGGTTTGTACATGTGATACCCACACTCAAGCACAAAGAATTGATGTTAGCTCATCCAGATAATGCATTCACACTTTTCCAAGGAGTGGAGAAAAACTTGGGATTTACAAAAAGACCAGTCATGTTTCAACTATTAAAAATTTCCTTATCTCTTCTAAGGAAGGTAATTTTACATTACACACTTGTAAACAGAGAAATCCAGGCAGAAAGAACTTTCATATGAAATAATTCCCGTAATTCAGAGCAAACAGCCCAAGTGTATGATACTAATACAGATCTGTTTGTTTCCTCTAAACTATGTGTGTATACACATACATATTTTCTAAACAGAAAACTGACTCATGACAGCTAATTACTGTAATGAACTCCAGAAAATAGGGAATCAATGCCATATTTTAGCATGCCTCTCCCCAGGCATTCTCTAGATACAAAAGTGTTCCTCAAAACTCATCTTTAATGTTGAAATGTGGCTGATCTTCAGGTTTAAAGTCTAGATTGGGGCTGCCATCCTCATTCAGAATTCGTCGAGAAGTATAGCCAACAATTGGATATTTGGCCTTATAAACGTTATTGAAGATATCATCCAGGGACTTCAGTTCCTCTTCTGTGAGTCCTGTCTAAATGAAATATGGAAATGAAAGTCCCGTCTCAAAGAAATAAAAATACATATATAGTAATAAAAAAGAAAAATGCATGTAAATAAACCTCAGGGTCAGCTTTTGGGTCTACCTTGCAGAGCATGATTAACAAAATTGATAGTATAACCTGTAATTTTATTCTTTTCATTCAAATTCAGCCTTGACAAAACTTTAATACATTCAGATCAAACAAACTGTTAATCTCCCTTCGTTTTCCCTGTGTAAGTAAATCACACCTCAAACAAGCAACAACCCACTGCCAGAGTTAACATCCATCGCCATGTCAGTGACACAGGATACACTAAACCAATTGACAAAGTAAGTGATTTACTCTCTTTGGAAGCATCTTTTTAAACAGCAGGTAATTTCCCCTTTATGTGCTTACGTAAGTTGTATTGATTCCACAGACTAAAAACTTTCCTCGTCCAGGCTGTTATCCCTGCACCTTTCATGAGCATTAAATACATACCCATTCTATATATTTAAAGAATATTAATGCATTTTTTTTAATGATGTGAATCAAGTAAATTAATACAAGTAATTTAATATTATCATTCATCATCTTGCAAAATAATAAAACTTTGCAAAACAGAATTAAACTAATAGTCCACTTTCTTACTATGTCATGTGTAAGATCTGCTGGATCCAGAGACATCTTTGCAACTCCTCTTGTTGAGTCTTTTCCAACCAAAGCATTGTATGGGGCTCCTTTCCCATAAAATTCTGTCAGATTAAAAAAAAAATAATCCAGTGATGATCTGACATGTACAGGGTATGTTCAGCCTCTGTTTTTCACCAGCCTGTTACAGTTGTCAGTGAACCAAAACGAACTCAAGTCTAAGACTCTTCTTTCCAAAACTGACTTTTGATTTACTACTTTTTGATAATATATCCCAGTCCTTAAAAAAAAACAAAACCAAAACAAAACCAAAACACCACACAAAACAGAGGGTGGAGTTATACAACTGTTGAACTCCTATACTGTGGTCTTAAAATTTACCTATTATTTAGGGACCTGAGTTTACATTCTTATGAAAGGTTTGTGGACTCCAGAATTTGCAGTGGCAAGCCTTGTCTAACTTAGGCTTTGAAGATCAGCCAACATGTATGTCCAGACAAGCAGCATTAACAGGCTTAGTACAAACAAAGCACCAAGCCATTAGTTTGTTTATCATGACATTAAGGCAAGTGTCCAGGACCCCCATGGTCCCTTCAAACATTTTACAGCAAATCTGGATTAAGAAGCAAGAGTTCAAATGAAAACATCTGTAGTTCTTAGGGAAGGCACAAACAGCAAACACAGCAATAGATGGTTTAGGTGTAAACAATGACACTAGAAGCCTCATGAAATAAGAAAATTTTAAAGGAGAAAAAAATTACTTAGCCTCCCGTCCTCCTTTCAAAAATCACAGTCAGCTCTTCCAAGAGTTTTGACCAGGCCGCTGGACAGCATGGGTAGGCAAACACCACCACACAAGGAAAAGATGAAACTGCAGCAATCCTGGTATTGTGTAGTGCAATATGGGTACATCCTAGTTAGCTTTCATCTGTTCAGTTCGTGCACCCAGTGCAACAAAATGCTGTAGCACCCGCTTCCGTGTGGTCTTCGCCCACATCTGGTGAGGACTCCGGGGTCTGCGCAGGTGTCTTCAACATTTCTGTCGTCAGCGCCCAAGCTAACTGGACTATGCTGGCTTGTCTGTCTACATGCAATGTAATCTCAAACCGGTGTTAAATTCTAGACAAAACCTTACCGGTGGAGGTGTCAGAGGAGGAAAATAAAGGTTTTTTTAAAAAAGAAAAGGTATATTCTTCTTGTTGCAATTGAACTGCAGGCTTCTAATACATTGGGAATACTTAAAAACAAATGACTGAAGAACAGCATGAAAAGCAGACAGCAGAGGAGAAGCAAACTCACCTTTTCCAGAAGTGACATCAAATACTACTCCCTTCACTGCCAGGTAAATGGGCTGTCCTTCCTGGAAAGAAAGCGATCAATATATCCTCAACACGTAAGCATAGGAAAAAGGCAATTAGTTTTAGCTATGAAATCCATAAGCACTCAGGATGGAAAGAAGAAAATTAAATTCTCTGTTGTGTGTGTATACAAGCATGCACAGTATCTCTGAAAATTTCTTGTTTGTGCTTTAAACTGTCCCTGAGGTGTTTTGTTTTTTTAAGGATTTAAGCATATGCAATGTGAGAATCTTTTTAATCTAAATGTCACAATTATAGAAGACATGTCCCTCTTGCAAGTCACCTCTTGTCTGCACACTTGTCTGCTCAAAGATTATCAGCTGCATCTTTCTGTTCCTGATGCAGGTGGACATTGCCCAAGATAAAAGGGTGTATGACCAACAGCATTCTTTATTCGATTAAAAGGACAACAGATAAATACACAAGCACACACAAATCTGATCTGCTGACACGTTTTACTTAATAAGCTAGTGCTTCTGCTTTGTTTTCTATGCGCCAGATGTATTTTTAGTCAGATGCTGGTTAGTTTCTTGAAAGCATCTAGAGACAACCCTGAGAAGGTTAGCCAGCAAGCTTTTCAAAAAAGAAGGCAGATGTGTATCAATATAGGACTTTATAATTTTGAATGTGATTTTTTTGCTGAGATTTCTGCATCACAGAAAGCTAAAAACTCCTAAGTTGAAATTGCTCTTTCTATGATTTTGTAGAAATAAAAAGAGTCTAAATGCATGGTTTAATGAATTATTGAGAGAAAATTACTTTGGCTCCAGTTTAAGGTAATCTGAAATTCACTGGCTTGAGTACATCGTCCAGCAGGCAACAAATAAAATAGGGATGTGCCATCTAATTGGATGCAACTTCAACGGACAAAAATCATCCGCTGCCAGCAGGACAAACGAATTGCAGGCCAGCGACACACAAATGCCAACAAACTCCTCGCGAATGCCCACAAAGCGAGTTATCCCGTAATTACTGGGAGAGGGGGAACAGCACAGCAGCACAGCACG